TATATTTACAACATTTCTGGCGGCCGCTAAAATTAAAAATTAATAGGCATCTCAGGCATTTTCGTTTTACAAAAAGTAGCTCACTGAAGGAAAATGGTTGGAGACCCCTGGCACAAACCAACTACATAGAAAAACAAACATCAGGAATAGATGCTATAAATAAAAAATATCACCTGTTTTCTGTTTAGCTTTAAAATGTAGTCGTAAAGATGGCTATTAAGTGTATGATATTTTTCAACAATTCTAAAATGTGTTGTACATTATTTATAACAAATATAATACACCAACATGTTACAATAATGATTTAAATGTCATAGTGAAAAATATTATTTGTACAGTGCATTAGCAAAGGTAAACTCTGAATACGTGAAACTTGTATTTTTTTCCATTCCCCTGCGTTTTCTAACTTTGTGTACCTAATACTTCCTCCCTCACCCAAACCCATTCCGTTGTCTGTACACTATACAACATAACTGCCTATTGTTCCCACCAGATGCCAGAGCAGGACAAAGTAAAAAAAACAAAAAACAAAACAAAACATTATGTCTGCAATATAGCCATTTTCCCATTACTGTGTTTATGTATCACCACGGCAACATTAATCATCAACATGCCTTCAAAGTTTAATAAAACAATTGCGTACGGTAGGAGGGAGAGTTCACTATGCCTGACCTCCTCTTACACCCACTGTGGGCTGAATTCGCAATGACTCCATAGCTGTGGCAATTTCCCCCTCCTAGTCAAAACATTATGGATGCTTGTGGTACAGCTGTCAGATCAATGGCGTTCGAAAATGTAAGATGAAAAGACATTTGCATGAAATATACGGCACGGGATAGACAGAGTATTAGCATAGAAGGAAGGAAGAGAGAGAGAGAGAGGGAAACGTGGAGGGGGGGCTAGTGGGTGGCTGTCCTCTCCGGGAGATGACAGATGATGGCGTATGGGAGCATATGTACAAGCTGGTGCCAAATGGAAATCTTTAAGAAATGTCAAAGGATCTGCGCTCGTGTTGGATTTGAAAGGAAACGCCGCTGTTGCTATAGTGAATCCAGCCTAGCCCCTAACCCCTCATTTACGGCGCTATTTAGCAGACTATATAGTGCCTCATTCACAGACAGATTTGGGCTCAGTTTGCTATTTTCATGTGACGCGACTTTGACGTCTGGGTGAAAGAACGTCCGCTAAACTCTATAATAATAAATAATGATCAAATTGGACTGGCACAAAAGTATTTATGAACTAGTTATAACTCTGGTTGTAACAATAACCAAAATATCGTGATATTGTATTGTCAAAAGTGTCACATTAATATCGAGAGCTGTCACAATATATATCGAATTACAAGTTTCTTTGTTCAAATGTATTATTTTATAGGAGTAACAGCTAAAAAAACATAGGGAACTACATATCCCATGATTCATTTCAGTGCAGACAACATGAAGAAATATGTTTTTTACTTGAGTTCTTGGGATTATGACAGTAATGATTCGCACCTCAAGTCTTGTCAATGTATTTTAAATGCAAAAAAGTATCCTGTCTACAATTATATTAACCACTCCAAAATATTGCAATAAATATCGTACAGTGAAATGTATATTGTGATAATATCGTACCATGAGATTTGGATATTGATACATTCTTAGTTCTAGCCACGCAAGTTTTTGTCAAGATGGAGCTCATTTAAACAGACTGGATTATTTGCTTTTTGTCTAAAATGTGGAAATGATCAATCTTTGAGTAAGGTCAGCAGGTAACGCAGCAACTTGACACCATAATTGTTTATTTAAAAGTGGTTTATTCATAATCAACATCAACAGTGCGGTAAACAAACGCTGCTATCTGCTGTCAGTCAGTAGTTTTGTGTCAGTTAATCCCATTATTCCCAAAGGCGAACCTCTGGTGGGTCGCCTTGTCACAGTCTGCATGTAGATCTCCAACATACAGTTCTGACACATGTAGAAATGTTAAGACATGTTTTGTATAATTTCTAATCTTTTTGTAATTGTTTTATTGACTATTTTGTTCCAATATTGCTGGTTCAATTGAATGTTGAAAAGAAAAAGAAATGGGCTACATTTAATGTCCAAATAGGCTACTCATCAATACCTTTTATTGCTGCTTCAGTGACAGTTTTTCATTGTTTAAAACTTGTACTTGTTTAAAACTAATACTAATTGTTCAGAGAGACACGATCACTCAGTCAACAATAAAATATCGTCACTAATATTCAATAATGCTCAAATCCACCTTTATTTTGTGATTTACGAATAATGTCTATTGACTTGGGTCTCGAAGGTTTGTGATTTTTAAAATATGGGTCCCCAGAAAAAAAGTTTGGGAAACACTGAGCTAAACTGTTGCCACGCTGCTGTTTTTCCGACTCTCGCAATGCACTGTGGTCTACATTAACCAGTCTAGTGATCAGGGCTGGACACTACTTTTAAAGGTGCATTGTAGGAAATTTTGAGTGCACTTGTTTTACACTCACTGAACATTTGGAAATGACTAAAAGTGGCAGTGCCCTATAGTGTGGACATTTGGACACAGCCTAAGGCTACATTTACACTGAAACGAATCACTGTATCACCGTATCGGAAATGATTTGCATCCAGACACGTCTTCCCTATCCACACAGCTTTGAGCATGGCTAATCTGCATAAACTGAGCGCCCAAAACAGCTTGCTATTGTGCACTTATGCGGTTCAGCTTCTGTCAGACTAAAGGAGACGGCTCTGTGGATTACATGTGTTCTTTCTGTGACAGAGGGGTGTTCTGTTGATGGTGAGTCTGTTCTGTGTTTCTATTGCGTAAGAGATGATTCATGTGAAACTTTTCAAAGATTATACGTCTGCAGGTCATACGCATAGAACGTATACACTATATGAATGGACATATAGTGTTTTAGCCTCTTAGTGTTTTGAAGGTGAATTACTTTGCGGCGCATAGACCTACATCAGCATATCAGGTGTCCACACAGTGTCGGATCAGATCCGTACTCAGATGAATTCGTGGGAGCTGATGGCACCAGATCGTTCCGTCTCTGAAGTCGTTTTCAATCGGATTAATGTGGACAAACACTGCATCCACAATGAAAACGACTCAAATACATACTAGTGTTTACGGGGCCTAAGTTGGTCTATTTTGAATGTGAAAGAAAGTTCACATTATGCTTTGCAACATTCTCCATGGATACAAATGTGTTTATACAATAGATCATTTTATCTAAAGCAATAACATTTTCATGGCAACAAGCAGGGCCAGGTCTCGCTTTGTCGAGATGCAAACCACATCACAGTAACAATGAATGTTTTTCAAGGATTTTTAGTGCTTTAAATGTATTTAATTTTTTTTTTTTTTTGGAGTATTGAAATGCTGAAGGACACTATTTGTGGATAGTGATGAGATGAATACAGATTTACATATTTGTAGCCCAAGCACTTGGAGAGGTCAGACCCTAGATAAGGCATTGTCTCTGATCATGCAAATACAAAGATACAGCACCAGATCTCAAACTGTGACTTTTAATTAATGCTTTAGTTAATGCAAGAATACTATTATTGGCAGAAGAGGTCCTATCCTGCAGTGGAAAAATTGTACCACACTAAAATGAAAAATGTGTACAGAACATCATTGCTTACAGACTGCAGTAATTAATTGTATAGAATCGTATTCAATGTTCAATCAATCCCAAAGTTGCCAAAATCTGCAAAAACTGTAAGCCAAGGCAGCATCTTCTCTTTCAAAACAGCCCCATCTCCACAGTAGAGTCTTTTCTTTTGTGCCTCGCTCTGGGGAAGGCCTGAAGTATAATGTGATCCCAGAACAAACATGTTTCTCTGTGTGGACTTAATAACTGTAGACTCCCGTTGGGGCACACAAAAGACTGACTCAAGCTGAATATGGAAGACTATAGGCTTTTGAGTGAAGTTGGAAGGCACTACTCAATGATAATATTGTATAGCAGCAGTAGTAGTAGCAACAGCAGCAGCAGGATTCGTAGTAGTAGTGTATATGTGTATGTCTATCCTATGAAGAGCCATACGCAGAAGGATTTCAAGTCAGATCATGTTGTTGTTGATGTTGTTTTGCTGTTAAAAGTACACAGTATTCACAAAATTCAGAGGTCTGCTAATCGCAATTTACTGCACAATATTATACATAACTGCATAATTGGCAATACCTGATAATACAACTGTACAATCTTGGAGCATTGTGATCATTTCTTAGTTAACACTACGTAACTTCATGGTGGAAGAGTCGCCACTTGTTTATGCATGGAGATTGTATAGGTTCGCTTTGAATGTTCCACAATATGAAATGAAACTCCACGGAAACAAGCAACGATACCACAAGGTCAAGCTACTGAGGAGGACTGAACCTGCAGACAATAAGTATGCATGGCCTTTTGTTAAGCTTGACATCATATTGTGGAACATTTGAGGCAAAACATGGGGACAAGAAGGTGACCGACCCATCGTTAGAAAAGTTATGATGCACTTTTAATTGTGTATTGTCTGTGTATTGTTAAGGTTAGGGATGCACCGATCCATGTACCGATTCTTATACTTTGGTGTCTGACGATGCCCGATACCAACCAATAGCACTGCAGAGACTAAAAACAGCATTTAATTCCTTTAAACTAAAATAAAATAAGACAGAACTGATCCAAATGCAAATGTGTAGCTGTTACTTATCTCACCAGTAAGGACAGAACAGCTTTGTGTAAATCAAAGTCCAAACATGATGACACTTTCTGGATCAACTATGACCAATCAATCAATATCCAACCAGAATATCCAACCAGAATATCCAACCAGAATATCCAACCAGAATATTGTCTAAACCGATATTTGGAAACCGATATCTGATCCAGCAAATGTTTCAGTATTAGTGTCGATATCCTTCACCAGTTGAATCAGTGCATCTTTAGTTACAGTGTCCCTGCCTGACACTGTCCTTTATGACAAAGCATTTTAAAAGTCCTTGTGGAGGCGTACCTTGAGGTGGAAGGTGTGAAAGTCATGGAGCATCCTCTCTCCTGAGACCTGTGACACAGAGAGGGGAGGAGAGAGGGGAATGTCAGTCTTCATTAGAAACACACTGCAATTACAAAGCAGCTCCAATGACAGTGATTGATCAATGAGGAACTCCTCTAATGAAGACAAGGATCCAGGGGCTCTTTGGGCCAAATTGGTAAAAAACTTGTTGGGAATAGTGTCCCGGATTGGCCTGAGCGCTAAGAGGATCAACCTGTCTGCAGGGAAAAGTTATCTGCAGTTCAAGGTTGGCACAAAGAAGAAGATATAGAATGTAACACACTAAAACCACACTTTGAAGCGTTGAAACTTGCCATATAACAGGGATAATGATTGCTGTGGACTCTCAAAATGCATACATATTTTTAAATACTCTTTGCATGCAATGGACTTGTTTTTCTAAACTTTATTGTGACTCAGTATGGAGCACAACAGTGACCACCTACCCCATGTGAGTAAAATTCCCATAAGACTTTCTGGAAAATAAATAAATAAACACTAGTTTGAAAGCAGGCTCAGTGAAATCTGTTTCTGAAAGTTTATACATTGCTAAGTTATTCTTGTTTTTCCCCCAAAGCTTGCTTTTTGGGCTTAAAACTACCATGGATATTAGTTAGTACATATCTTACTAGCCTCCATTGAACCTTCAAAGTCTTGATTTTAGAATTTTTCAAAGAGTCTTTGGGAAAATTTGATGGAAAATTGACTTTTGGAACCTGTTAGGAATGCTGAGCTCCACTGACTACTGATCATGCAACCAACTGAGTTTCATTTATTTAACACAAAACATCAAATCAACAAATACAATTATTACAATGTAATAAAAATACAGGCACTCTAGACAATTTTGCAAACAAAATCATGATCAATCCCTGAGAGCTAAGAATTCTTATGGAAAATACTAATAGATCATAACCCACTATCTGAAACACATTTAAAACACTGTGTATTTCTTTAAAGTCAGATATCCGCCAAAAACAACATATTAACAGGTTTCACTTTTGTTTTTGATCTGAGTCCCCCTTCCCTTTGCTCTCTGCGCTAAATCACAACTCAATCAGCGTGCATCCCTCACTACTACTGCACATCTCATCAGGTTTGTTAAGTTGTTGTGTACAGTTTTATCATCCTTTTTTATATTTATGGAGAATTGCTGTGTGGGAGCATGGCTATGGGCTTGAACAGAATCTGTCAGGAGGATTCAAACAAGGAATGGGCGAGATCGCTAAATTGCTGAAACACGCATCGATGACATCTTAACCTTTTTCTGGGATTTTTTGATGAGAGAACACCCTCTAAAATTTGTACATACTGCATCCTCTTTCTAGAAGCTATAGGTCACACATTGGGAAAAGGCTCACAAAGAAATCAATACTTTTTGGAAGTACTGACTTTCGGGGTCATAACATTTTGGCACCTATTGTTATTTCAGTCTGAAATCTGAAAATAATGTATTTATATTGCAGTTATCATCTATGAGCTTTCACTTTTTACAGAATTGTAAGAAAAATACTAATTGACCATAACCCATTATCTGCAACATTGTGTAAAGTGGGAGGAAGCTGTTATTTCTTTAAATTCTGATGAGTAATATGATGAAAATTGTGCACTTGATATTCATTTAAAACCTGCTCCTTGGTAGTATCAGTGCTAAGCCAGTTTCAAAACATTGCAACATCCATGTTTTGCTGACTAAAATGCATTAAATTCTGTATGGAACTGTGTATCAGAAAATATGGATAAATTGAACAGGCTGTCACGCTTTCCCCCGTTGATCTAAACATGCCGAGTGAGCTGGTATCTTAAAGACAATCTATAGATAACTGCAACTGACATTTCCTGCTTATATGAACGATTCGGAAGCAAAATATTAACCCAAAGAGCTTTTTATTCCCCAAACATGTTGCACTAGTTTCCTTTGGCACTTTTTACTTTGTTAGGCCAAACAGCGGTGATCTCAAGGGCCCCTTCAACATGACTGCCTGAGCTGGACTGTGGAGAGCCGCCTCATTGTTAATACAGCACCAATGAGGAAATCAGGCCCTGGAGGCAATAGCTTCATATGCCACTGTGTTGAAATTCACTTTCTGATTTCACCCTGTAATGGTGGTGTGAAAAATGTGCTGTGCCTCGTGGGCTGATCTGACAGAAGGGCGGACATGTTTGCTTTCAGTTCTTTTCATGCCGAGTACACAGGTGAGGGCCACAGCCAAAAACACAAAACCCTACGAGCGACGCATCCGACTGCTGTTGTAAAGCTGTGGTCTGTCAACTTCAGGTTTACATAGCACGTTGAATGAATTTTAAATGTTATGATTTTGTAGGTTTGAGATGGCTAATTGAATGATTGTGATGAAACTACTGAAATACTCTACGAAAAGGATCATTAAACTGGAGGTATTTTACTTTTACTGCGACCGCATAACATATTTAGATCATCATGTTAACTTTTATTGTTTTGAAAAGACTGTATTTGCTGAAAACAAAACAGTTTCACTTTAATTTTTAACACAGAGTCTCCCCTCCCCTTGCTCTCTGTGTTACGGCACTCCCCCTTCAGAGCAGTGTGAAAAAAACGTATAGTTTTGGATCGTGCTTTTGTATATTTATGGAGAATATTAAGGAGGATTCAAGAGAGATTGCTAAATTACTGAAACTGCACAGACAGTACCTCTTCAGGCAAACAAAAAAACAACAATTTTCCATAATACGCCTCTCTAATTTGTATAATCTTCAAGAACCTATGTGACTCATTTCTGTTTTTTTGTTGGCATCTATTGCTATTCCAGGAAAACATTTCTACAGAAACAACAAGTGAAGCACTGAGAGAAATGTCATTTTTTCCCCAAATGACAGAAGACCAATGAGCACCATCGTTTCACATATGTCACTGAAAAAAAAAAAAAAAAAAAGAATCTGACAAAAATATTGCACTTATCACCCCAATTCCAATCTAACCAAAATGAAAAATGGTATATTCCTGCTATTCTTTCCTTTTGCTTCTATTTGCACAAACTGTGTAATAACATTTTGCTGGAACAATAAAATCTTTCTAGCTGTAAACTTGAATCCCTGGATTGTGTTGCTCTTGGTTCCCATAGAAACAGAAGCGATCACCCACAAGAGGTAAGGCTGGAACACCTCTAAGTGTCTTTATGCTGCATAGGTTAGAATAGATTGTACTGGGCATAATTGGCGGTAATTGGTACTTAACTGGTGTGTTATGCAGAAAGACCAATGGCATAATAAATGGTATAATAGCGCTGCCATATTTCAGTATTGAGCTGAGGAGAAGCCTGGGGGATTTACATGTTCAAAATAGCTACGTTTTGTTTCAGTGACTTGAGGGGGCTTTGGGTTCTCAGACTGGGGTAGGGTACATGTGAAATGCAAGAGCCTCTTAAGGGATATTTCTTTAAAATAAAATATGTCATTCTATTTCTGTCGTCTGAACAGTGAATCATCAGCTTCCTATAATTATGCAGTTATTCACTTGCTGTTTTAGCGAATAACTTGAATTTATTTGACAAACTCAATGAACTTTTAAAGTTTTAGACTCCTTGTACGCAAATGAAACATATATCTCCATGGAGACAAGCAAATGGCCATCCAAAAGAAAATATCTAAACACTGACAAATTTCAGATTAATTTATTTGAAATTTGTCAATATGCTGTATACATCAGATACAGTTTGTTCCTTACACAAACTGTACTCACGATAGTGTCACTATAGAAAAAAAATTCAAACTCGATTTTGATACTAAGGCATAGACTTGATAGTCAGTAGCCTACTGATTCTGATACCACAGTGATACTAAAAAAAACAAAAAAAATCAATTTAATGTAATTTTCATGATTAAATAATAGAACTTTCTTTTATATTACTATGCAGTCTTAAATCTTTGTAATCCCTCAGTCCTGCAGGTAGGTTCCATAGGGATCCTTGACCATATGTGGTTCAGATCATTCTAAAGCCTTGAGAGTGTGAGAACAGCTGTGAGAGTGTGAGGAGCAGCCTCATGAGCTAAGGCTACAGTAGATGTAGAGAGAAGTAGTTTACCATCACACTGTATTCTACATCACATGTACAGTACTTAATATCTACTCAAAGGTTGATGGTTTGTTGCCAAAGTGTGTTTGCAGAAGTAAAGTTTTGGACTGCGAGCTTAAAACTCAGGAAAAGATGGGCAAAGAAAATTCCTTAGATTTCAGTGCTACTCTTCACTTCAGTGAACTCCAAAACCTAGTTACTGCACATAAGGGGCTCGGGTACCTGTATGATTATACAGTACAAGAAAATTAGCAACTAAAAGAGGTTGCCAATTCCAAAGAAGTCGTGGAAAAGGCGAACGAAAATGACTGAGAGTTGCAGAAACTCACTGATACTCTTCAGGAGAAGCAGAAGCAACTACAAGAAGTTATTGCACATAAGGGGCTCCATGCCTGTACAATTCTAAAGTACTGGAAGATGTGCATCTAAAACAAGAGCTTGCCAACTCCAAAAAAGTCACTATCGAAACACCAAAAAAGACAAATGAATGACTTGGAGTTGAAAGAGATCACAGCTCCTCTCCTGAAGAAAGATAAAGAGCTGGAAAACCAAGTCAGTGTGTACAAGGAGATAATCGATCTCTATAACAATACAGAGAGAGACAATGTCCAGCTCAAACAAGAGCTAGCCCACACCAGTAAAGTCCATGACAATTACACGTGTGCTTTGACCTTTATTTAGTACTTATTCATGTTTTATTGGTTAATTTATTTTTAGTAATTTTTTTCACATTGTTTAATTCACATTCAAGCCTCATAGCATACTGTGGTGGCTTGTTTTTTTATGCAGAAATGGGTAAAGTGAATGTACAAAAATTAATAGAATACATGTTAAAAGAAAGTAAAAGATTAAAATGCCAATGTGAATGTTCTTTTTTCCCCCCTCTAAACTGTGATTTATTGCCTGTTGGAATCAATATAATGCTTACTTTTCTGTATATAGAGAGAGGTACAGCTGAAC